TCACCATCACTGGTTCGAAGGTAAGTGCATGTCCAAGTACTGAGTTCTTCAAGAACCGAACAGCGTCTGCAAACTGCGGTTTGTTTGCAGGAATTTCTAGAAGAGCCACATGGTTGTTTGGCTTAAATGTGCAGTCTTCTAAGGAAAAATTAACACTTGGTGAAACCATTTCTGTAAAAGAAGATAAACATAAAGAAAGAACGGTGCATAGATTAACATTAGTAAAACATTTTTAAGATAAAGTTTTAAAAGAAAAACTTTCTTCTGAGAAACCAGAAGAAGATTAGGGTTTTTCAAGAAGATTTAGGTTTTAAAAACTAGGTTAAAATCAAGAAGATGGATGATTTAAAACCTGTTTGTTTGTACACAAAAGAAGGAAGAACATTTTTAAATATGAAACAAAGTTTCTTGAAGAATAACAATAAAAAAGAAAGATTACAAACATGTTTCATTAAAGAAGGAAGGAAACTGGTTCAAAAGAGGTTATTGAAAGTTCTTGTTTGCACTAAGTTCTTGAGAGAGAATTCTTGTGCAAGCGTAAAGAGATATATGAGAGGATGAGTCTTATATTTGTAAGTGATATGAGAGAGAAAGAATAGAAAGGAAAATGACGCTTCGAAAAGACGTGCAATGATGACTTTCTTTGCACGTCATCGCATTGTCATTGGGTAGAAAACAAAATGGACCACGTGTGTCAGAAGAACGCACGTGATACCATAAAATTTTTAATGACATCATAAACAAATGACGGTTCATCATCCTTTTTCTTTTAAAACAAAAGTCACTAAATAAGAAAATTTCAGTGAGAGTTTTAAGATTCTTTTAAAACAAAGGATCACTGAATAAGAAATTTCAGAGATAGTTTTAAGTTAAGAAAAGAAAAACATATCTTAAAAGTAAGATACATTTACTGAAGGGTTCAGTGATAGAGAGACACTGAAATATTTCACCTTTTAAAAACATTTTAATCACTGAATAATGGAAGATTCAGCGATAGTTTTGTTTTAAGAAAAGACAAGTAGATATACATTGGAAATATACTTACTCAAGAGTTAAGTGATAGAAATAAACACTGAAACATCTCTTTTAAAACGTTTTGATCACTGAATAAGAAAGGATTCAGTGATGGTTTTAAGATTTTAGAAAAGAAGATAAGTATGCATACTTTAGAGAGAAAGATACATTTACTCAAGAGTTTAGTGATAAAATAAGAACACTGAATCATTTCACTTATGTATCACTGAGTATTGCTTACTGTTGAAGGAATTAATCCTCAGCGTTCAACATTCTTAGTTCGCTGATTAACATATTAAATCTTGTTTCATCAAGAGGCTTTGTAAATAGATCAGCTAATTGGTACTCAGTGGGTACAAAGTGAAGTTCAATATTATCATTCATAATATAATCTCTGATAAAATGATATCTGATCTCAATATGTTTGGTCTTTGACTGAAGTACAGGGTTGTTTGCACTTGCAATGGCACTGGTGCTATCACAGTAGATAGGGATCTTTAAGAGTTGAAGATCACAATTGTTGAGCTGGTTTTTCATTCAAAAAATTTGGGCACAACAGCTTCCAGCGACAACATATTCAGCCTCAGCAGTTGATGTGGACACTGAATTTTGCTTCTTACTTGTCCAGCTCACCAACTTTCCACCTAGAAGCTGACAGCCTCTAGTGGTGCTTTTTGTATCAATCTTCCAACCTGCAAAATCACTATCCGCATAACCAATTAGGTCTATTTGGGGTACCAGAAACCCATATTAGGAGTTACCTTAAGATATCTGAATATGCATTTTACAGCAATCAAATGAGATTCCTTAGTTTCAGACTGAATCTTGCACAAAGACAAGTAGAGTACATAATATCAAGTCGGCTAGCTATGAGATACATTAAAGAGCCAATCATTCCTCTATAAATAGTTATGTTTACAGGCTTTACATTTGGATCCTTGTTCAACGAGAGAGGAGGAACCGTTGGAGTCTTCATAGATGAACTGTTGGTTAAGTCGAATTTTTTCAACATATCCCTGACATACTTACTTTAATTGATAAAGATACTTTTATCATACTTTTTGATCTGAAAACCTAGAAAGTAAGTCAGTTCTCCCATCATGCTCATGTGATATTCTTTTTTCATGTATAGCGAACCGAAAACACAAAGAGGGATTAGTGGAACCAAATAAAATAGCATCGACATAAATTTGGACTAGAATGATAAGACCCTTGCCTTTCCTAAGAAATAAGGTCTAGTCAATCTTTCCACGGACAAATTTCTCAGATATGAGATATGAAGAAAGGGTGTCTTACCAGGGGGCCTGTTTTAACCCATAAAGAACTTTATCCAATCAATAGACATGATTACGATATTTTGGGTCATGAAACCCTGGAGGTGTTCAATATAAACTTCCTCCTGAAGTTTTCCATTAAGAATAGTGCTCTTTACATTCATTTGGTAGACTTTAAAGTCTCTATAGGCAACATAGGCTAGGAAAAGTCGAATAGCTTCGAGTCTAGTCACTGGTGTGAAAGTTTCGTCATAATCAATTCCTTCTTCTTTCTTGTATCCCTGAGCAACAAGACGAGCCCTGTTACGGGTTACAATTCCTTGTTCATCCAACTTATTGCGATAAACCTATTTGGTGTCTATCACAGTTTTGTCAGATGGACGTATGACAAGGTACCAGACTTTGTTCCTATCAAACTCAATGAGTTCTTCTTGCATAACAGTGACCCAGCTTGGGTCAGTGATAGCCATTCTCTTCGGATGAATATAAGGATAGACTGGTACAGGAAACCGGGGTGCAATACAAGTAGATAATAGACTAGTTTATTAATGAACGAAAACGATACTGACTCACCAATCCTTCTTTTTCTACGGTGTTGAAGACGAAATGCAAAAGGTATTAGATTGACTAACCCATTTATTTATAGATAAGATTTATGATGAAAATGTGACATGCCAACCTTAATCTCAAGAAGAAGCAATGCAGGTGACTGACTGAACATAGCATATATCATGCAAATGCAACGAAGATGAAGCACAAGGAGCTGCCACTTTAATATATACATATACATATATATATATATAGAGAGAGTTGGGTTCACGTGAGACCAAAAGTTTTTTGTGAGACCCGTAAGACCAATTTATATTCATTGATCAACTTTATAAGCTAATGATCTAATGATCTAAAGTTGCACGGTGGCAATTTTGTCAATTATTGAGAAGTCTCGTGACAATTTTGTGATTATGAATGTTCAGATTGTAGATCTAATCCAAGGATTGAGAATTGGTCTTATGGGTCTTATGAAAAACCCTTGGTCTCACATGATCCCAAGTATATATATATATATATATATATATATATATATATATAATCTCCAATACAAAGGTGTAGACAAACCACAAGAAGCTTCTTTAATTTTGTAAAAAGGAGAAGATAGGTGTATTTTCTTTTGTATGTAAAGGAATCTTTAGTACCTTTTATTTCATATGGATGATGCCTCTTTATCAATAGCTCTTGAACTCCCGGTCGAGTTTTACATATGGACGATACCTTTATTTATTTAGTTTTTGGGTGACGAAAATTTAGTTTTCTTACAACGAGGATTTTTATTTATTTAGACAAAGACCTTTTTTACAGTGGACGATGGATTTCTCCTAATTGTATTTTACAGTCTTGAATGGGTTTTTTCCGGTCGAGTTTTAGTGTCTCAAATTGCCTACGTTCTTGCTCAATGAAGAAGGCATAAGTGATAAGTGATTAGTCTTGATAAAGACAATGAAGGCATAAATGATTAGTCTTGAAGAAAGTATATTGAGACATCATTAAATATAATATGGTTGAATTAAGGGGCTGTTTACCAAACACTTAACCAGTAAGTGCTTACCGACAAAATTTAACACTATCATTGACTTACCGGGTAAAATTTTAGGCCACCAAAACGGTATCGTATGCAACAATTTACCAGGTAAGCGCTTACCGTGGTAAGAGTCACGCCCTCACTTACCGGGTAAGACTCTTGGTCCTTGTCTCCCTCTTACCGGGTAAGATTTTTCGTCCTTACCATATTCATCCGGAAAGATAATGTGATGTGGTGTTCACTTACTCGAGTAAGTGTTTGGTAAACGGCCCCTAACTCTCATTTTGAGTTGGATTTTAAATGATGTATGTGGGTGTAAATTTAAGTTTCATTAGACGAGTACCCAAAATATAAATACATTCTTTCTCTAAAACAGGTTATGTGTATATTTTGTAATTTTTATTCATAAACAATTGACTTGGAGTAGGCATGACCTAAAAAATTCATTTAGAACATCGATTTGTTTTAAAAAGGGGTTTGTTATTATAAACATTCTATATGAAGATTTGTTCTATTTTTACAGATGATTGCAAAACCTACCAACACCAACACAAATGTTTTGGTTGGGTAGTTATTTGAATCTAACATAGGTACAGATGTAGTAGACTTTATTACATCTTGAAAAGATTTGACATTTTAAAATTAAATAAATTATAATAAACATTTTATATCCCATCGCATTGTACGAATACACAACTAATTATAAATTAAAAAGCTTGAAAATAGTTCTCGACAAACGTTTATATTTTACAAAGACCAAAAACAGTTTAGAAATTTTTAAAATGATATTCCTACTTTTATTTTTAATTTTTATTATTTTCCCACAATCATTTTCAGCATCAATGAATTTTTTAATTGTTTTAAGAAAAACATATAAATATAAATATACAATTCATAATTTTATTTTTATTTTAACTTGGTTTTAATATTTTTGAGTCATTTAAAAAAGTATAAGAGAACCACAAGGGTCAAAAGTGTTTAGAGGTCTCAGGTTCAAATTAAGAAGGAACAAAATTTTTTTTGTGGCTACGGAGGTTCAAATGCGGTGACTTCGGATTAATTGCAAAACAGATGGTCGTTCTAAGATCTGTCAGCTTGCATAACAGGTTGAATATCCAGATTAATAAAAAAAATATAAGAGAAAAATAAATCGATAAGACATCGGGATCACAAAACTCCATCTAGAAGATTGAGAAAATCATATAATTGATTAAATTTAAAATCAAAAACTATTTTTAATTGATCAATTATTAAACCAATTAATTTGCAAAATTACTTAAAAGCCCCTCAACAATTGACTTGAGAAGAAACAGGCACAAAAATGAAAGGAGGGTCCCAAGCATAAAGAAACCAGACCGTCGCAAAAGCTGCAATCGGGCGGCCTCCGTTAACGATGCAATTGTTATTCGCTACGGGTGCAAAGATGTTTGGATCAACTTTCTCGACAGATTGGAAACCGTTGCAAGAAACCGTAAGGCTTTGTTGAGGACATTTGCAACTGTTTATAAAACTCACGTTCCATTCTTGTTTACCTTCTATTTGTATCGAAGTCCTTTCTGTTCCGACGGTTATGTCTTTTAATTCACACTGACCGTAACCTATGAACAAGATTTTTATAATATTATTCCTTTGATGTTAAATGAAGAATATTTTAACATAAATAAAAAAATCAAGAAGATTTTTGAAGTTTTCTAAAAACCCAAAAGATTTGATAGCTTAAAAGTGAGATAAAACGTTATAAAAACCAAAATTGGCTTATTTGACCGTTATATATCCGTAGCATGTAAATTTGTGTTTTATTAGACTTGAACCCAGGTTAACCGATAAGAAAATAGGAAGGGACGTAACATTTTCAAATAAAAATGAAATAAAAACAATTTTTTTGAAGTTTGATACGATCGAATTACACATCTTGTGTTCCTTTGAAACCAAATTAACCCACACGTACAAAAACGACTCAAACTCATAACCTAAAGATTGTAGAACTTGTTTGCCATCTCGATATGAAAGACTGCCTAGACTGTTAGCAAAGGATGTCGAATCCATAACTATATATAGGTTCCCTAGACCTAGGAACTGTGTTTACCAAACGCCAATTAGACAAATACTTACCGGATAAAAATCACAACCCTGCTTACCTTACTAGGTAAGATTCTCGGTCATCAAAATGACATGGTAAGATTGTTGGTAAACGTCTCTTACACGGTAAGAGCCACCATCCTTACTAATCAAATAAGATTTTCGATTCTTGTCATGTTCATCCAGTAAGATAAGTAACCCGATAAGCATTTGGTAAACATCAGTTTTAATAATACCAAATGATGGATGCAATAGTAAAATCAAAAATAAAAAGGAAAAAAGATACCTTTGATGAGGAGAGTGAAGAGAAAAATGAGGAGAGTGGATGCCATGAGGTTTGTGTTGTTCTTGTAATGAATTGGTTGTTGCCCTATTTATACACCCCACCCCATTATTATTTCATATTTGTATTCTCCAAGATGCACATGTTGATTTCAAGATTCACAAAGGGATTATGATATTTTAACAAACAAGGAATTAAATTTTCATTATAACCATGTATATATATATATATATATATATATAATAAATATGTATAAAAAAATATCATGATATTCGTCATAAATATGATTGGTTTTTGAAGATGTCAAAATCTACATTGTTGTTAAATGAACTTTGTCCATATATAGATATGGAGAAAAATCATGAAAACCAATCACTACAACAAAATTGTGTTTATAGGACGCTTCCAATCTCTAAGCGTCCCAGTAGACTGCTTTATAAGACTTAATTTATAGGACCAAAATATAAAGCGTCTGATCTAAAGGTGTTATAATAAGTTTATATGACGCTTTTGGATGTCTTAACAAGTTTTTTAGGACATTTTTAATACAAAACGTCACATTAGCAAACTTTATAGAACACTTTTAAGAAAGTGTCTTATAAACTCAATTTTTTATAGGACATTTATTTGTATAGGACAATGTTTCAAATAGTATCTATAAAGTTGCTAGTGAGACATTTTATATTAAAAATGTCTTAAAAAACATATTACGAAGTCAAAAAACGTTATATAAACTTATTACAACATCTTTAGATAGGACACTTTATTTTTTGGTCTTATAAATTAAGTCTTATAAAGAGGTCTATTAGAACGCTTAGAAATTGAGAGCATCCTATAAACCCGATTTTGTTGTAGTGAATTTACATGTATATATTGTTTCATGTATCATCAAACAACAAATATATGTAAGACGTACAACGTTGTTTCATATACGAAAATACATATAAATACGTTTCATATATGAAACAAACAAACACACATAGACACAAGAACATAACATATAAAAGACCTCAAATCTTATCTTAAAACGAAACTCATTGAATAGTTAGGATCAGTTTTCATGAGTGATTTATATTTAATTAATAAATTACCATTAGATTTGGTTACCTCTTTATCTTTTATATATAGTATAAAGAGAATAAATGGATACGCAAATAATTACAAAAACAAACAGTGTCCTGTCGTCTAAATAACGTTACCATAAAAAACCTCGTCCTATTAAATTAATTAACAAATATATGAATGGGAGTTTGAGAGAATGTATGGTTATCTCGACTAGCTGATGTAGCTTTCCAACACCATCGGTTAAACTGGGTCATTGTTGGGACCTATCTTTCAACATCGTGATGGTCTTGGCCGGTTTGATTTAATCCATTGACCGCACAATTACAATTTTTTTTTGTCATTTACGTAAATCCAACCAATGAAGAATAAAAAGAAGAATTTTTTAATACAAGAACAAATTCAATATAAATACATAACAAAATACAATTATTGATCGTTGAATAACAATCTAGTAATGTCTTAAACGAAAAATAACCTTAGCTAATCTTATCCAGTTGTTATGAATAATCCGGTAAGATCATCGTTGTCAAAAAATTTACCTAATCTTAGGGGCCGTTTACTAAACACTTACCTGTTGGAAAAAATTTCTCATCGGATGAACATGGGAATGGCCAAGAATCTTACTGGGTAAGAGGGATGAGAAGAATGGAGAGTCTTACCCGGTAAGTGAGGATGACGATTCTTACCAGGTAAGCGCTTAGCCAATAAATTGTTGTATTCGATACGTTTTGATGTACTAAAATCTTACGCATCAAAATAAATTAACGACCCCTTAATTACTAGGTTTCTTAACAACCACTGGGTCAGATTAGTTGACTCTGTATTTTTACCCTGTTTAAAAAATATGAATTTTTAGATAAGTTTTAATTGAACAAATTATAATCAAATAC